TATGTTTTTTCCAAACCCCACTTTTCGTTTTGTTGCATACCAGAATGATATCAGCAATGGCATGTTCGTGAGGAGTAAAGCAAAGCAAAACTTTTTTATTATTTAGAAATAAGATACTAACGTTAAGTGTGTGGTAAGGAGAAAATGAGACGAATATTGTAATTTCTTTCTATTTTTGCGCACTGTTCCGATTGATGTTAATTTTTCTTTTAGAAACTCGTCTGCTAGAATTAATCCAGATAAAAATTATCTGTCGATATTAGGTGACTTATTTCTCATCAATTATTTGTTAAAGTGTTTACTACGCGGGATCCTTGATTTTGTTTAGCTCTTCTTCTTTTTTTCTTGATAAACTTCTTAATTACAGCAGTAAAATGTTTTGCGATGGTTCAGGATTTTTTGATTGAAACATGATGTAAGAATAAATGTTTATTAAAATATGATTACATTAATGTATTGATTGCTACTACTCATCCTTCGCAATCATGACCGCTTTTTAATAACGAAAAGTGATTATGTTACATTATTATGATCGATTACGAAGAATTTGCAATAGCGCACAAAAGAATACTTAACCTACTTAACCATTAAATTAATATATTATTTATAATTAATTACTACACTACACCTCTGGGGGGGAAATAAAAAAAAATTTCTTCTAAAATTTTTTTTTTTTTTTATTCATAATATTGCTTAACTCTATTTTTATGAATTTCGATTATTTTATTGTTTAATTTAATAACTACGTTCGGCGATTTCATCTCTACTATTGTATATGGACCCTTATATAATGATTCTAACTTACTTCCCACTTCATTTTTAACTAAAATCTTATCTCCTACCTTAAAATTAATTTCCTTTAAGTTTTTATTATAAGAATCAGTCCGTTTATTTTTTGAGCTTATTAAATTTGACCTAGCATCCTTACATGCTTTCTGAAGTCGATATTTAAGTTCAATAGCATAGTTGTTAAAATTATATATTGGCTTTACTTCATGCAATAAATTTGATGGTAAACTGGGGTTTTTCCCAAACACAAGTTCATAGGGACTATAATTAGTTGATGAATGAACAGTTGTGTTATATGAAAAACTCCAATAAGGTACCCAAGTGCTCCAACTGTCTGGATACTTATTCGATTGAATTCTTAAATAAGCTCCTAAATGTTTATGTGAATTTTCAATGGCACCTAAAGTTTCGTGATGGTACGCTGTTGAATTTAAACGTTTAATTTTTAATAATTTACATGTTTCCTGAAATGTACTGGCCATAAATTCCGTACCTTGATCAGTTACAATAGTTTTTGGAATACCATATCTTAAAATAAAATTTTGAACATAACATTTTGCGACAGTTTCTGCATCTTTATTGCTGATTGGGTAGCACTCCACAAACTTTGATAAGTCACATTGTATCGTCAATATATATTTATTATCGTCATTGTCTGCGTTAAGTGGACCCACTATATCCAAGAATACTTTTTCAAATGCAGTATGGCCGTATCGGTAAGACTCATTGGTTCTTTGTTGTGTTTTGCATGTTTATAACGCTGGCAATCATCACAACGTTTAACAAAATTTTCTATGTCTTTGAAAAGACTGCTCCAAAAATAATATTTTTTGACATTATTAAACATACGTTTTATACCAATGTGTCCTCCGGTAGGTAACATATGAAAATCATTCAAAATAAGTTGACGAATTTCTTTATTATGAACGTGTGACACGCCCTTTACGACAGATATATTTATGTTTACCTTTTTAAACGAATCTTGAAAGTTTATTAATTCTTTAATAAATTGACTAGTCATTTTATTTTTTATAATTACTATATCATTAATATTATTATCAAAACATAAATTAAACAGTTCCTTCAACGACGCAGCTGAGTTTGTCGATGATAAAGAATTCTGTTTTATATAAAGTGTACACATTTTATTATCATATATTAAACATTTACTTTTATAAACAATATTTACTTTTTTGTTATTTATTAATTTGTCAAATTCAATTTGATTTATCGGTTGCAACTCGATTGATTGTTTTGGTCTTTTCAATAATTCTACGAAGCCAGGGTGATCAAGCCTATCTTCAGCAGAAATTTCAATTTGATGATCTTCCGGCAAAGATTTTGTCTTAGACCGGGTCATTACTAAAATTGTTTGATTATTTAGTTCTTTTAAGTCATTTATTGTGATTTTTGATAATGCGTCAGCGACCACATTATCTTTTCCTCTGATATAATGAATGTCGAAATCGTATTCTTCCAAAATTAAACGAAATTTTGTAAGACGGCTTGATGGGTTAGCCATTCCAAAAAGATAAATTAACGGTTTGTGGTCTGTATAAATTTTGAATTTCTTGCCAAACAAATAAGGACGAAAATGTTTTACTGCCCATACTATCGCTAAAAGCTCTTTTTCTATGGTACAGTAATTTTTCTCTGATTTGTTTAAACCTCTGCTAGCATATGCTACTACCTTATCATTTGAGTTTGATAAAATTGCACCAATAGCAAAGCCTGAGGCGTCTGTCTTCAACATAAATTCATTTTCGGTTGAAAAATTTGGAAATTGCAATACTGGAGGATTAATTAAGTAGTACTTTAATTTTTCAAACGAATTTTGACATTCAGAACTCCAATTAAACGTTTCGCCTTTTCTCGTCAGTTTATTTAAAGGTAAAACAATAGCAGCAAAATTTTTTATAAAACGCCTATAATAATTAGTAAATGCTACAAATCGCTTTACTTCATCTTGATTCTTTGGTACCGGGTAATTTTCTACAATTTTAATTTTATCAGGATCTGGCAGTACGCCTTCTGCCGTAATTAAATGTCCTAAATAAAGTAAGTCTTTTTTCAAAAATTCACATTTTATCGGGTTTAATTTCAGATTTACCTGTCTCAATCTTTCAAACACTCTTATTAAATTTTTATTGTGAGTTTCCAAATTATTACCAAAAATTATTAAATCATCTAAATAGACAAAGCAAGATTCTGAACATAACCCCGACATAGCAATTGTCATGATTCGAGAAAACGCACTGGGACTTATTTTTAACCCCATGGGCAATCTTCTCATCTGATATTGTCCTTTATCAGTAGAAAATGCAGTTATTGGTCGACTTTTTGAATCTAATTCTATTTGGTAGTAACCTTGCGCTAAATCTAGATGCGTGAAATAAATCGCACCAGACAGCGAATCTAATATGTCATGAATATTGGGCAAAGGAAATTTGTCGTCTTGAATTTGTTTATTGACTTGTCGATAATCGACAACAACGCCCCTATTATATATATTATTTATAATTAATTACTACACTACAGTTTACGAATTAAATAATGTCCAAATCCAAGGCATTACAGTGTGTGTTGTCCAATATTAGATCAACTGTATGACCACGGCCGTAATCGAACTCGGCTTAATTAAGCAATTTTACTTTCTCTGTACGAATTAAGCTGAGCATTACAGCTATGTGTTGTCAAATATTGTATTGATATGGCAATAGTTGTAATAAAAAGAAATAAATAAAAAAAGGTGCAACATTATCTCTATAATTTTGAATATATACAAGTGCCCAAAAAATAGTACAACATTACAATTAAATTTCTTGAATTAAAACATCTTTATAACTATATATTTGTAGATAACTTACTTATATTAACTTTTTAACAATGAGATATGACGTTAAACTAAAAATTTGTTTAAATCCTCAGTTATTCAATGAATTAATCTTTTTCTCTTTTATTATTTCAGCTTCAAGCACATTTTCTAATTGTGGATGATGTAATGGATGGATCGGAAACAAGACGTGGGATACCGTGTTGGTACAAAAAGGAAGGAGTTGGTTTGAACGCAATAAACGACAGTCTCTTATTAGAGAATGGAATGTACGTTCTTCTAAAGAAACATTTTTCCCACCTGCCAATGTACATACCGGTAATCGAACTGATTCACGAAATCACCATGAAAACCGTAATGGGACAATCCTTGGACTCTATGAGCTTAAAAGATGGACGTCCAAACCTAGAATTATTTACGATGAGCAGATACAATTCAATTGTAAAGTACAAAACTGCGTATTATACTTTTCATCTTCCGATTGCGTTGGGGATGTATCTTGCTAATAAATTTGATCCTGAAATGCATCGCCAGGCAAAAACGATTTTATTAGAATTGGGTGAATTTTTCCAAATTCAAGATGACTTTTTGGATTGTTTTGGGGATTCGAATATTACCGGGAAAGTTGGTAGAGATATTCAAGAAGGAAAATGTACATGGTTGGTTGTCGTAGCTTTACAAAGAGCTACTCCAGCTCAAAAAAAGATCTTGGAAGATCATTATGGAAAAACGGATCCTGAAGATATTAAAATCGTTAAGGGATTATACGAAGAACTTGGGTTGCCAAATACTTACGCTATTTACGAAGAAGAAACGTTTAATTTAATAAAAACTCATATTCAGCAAATATCTAAAGGTCTTCCGCATAATTTGTTCTTTAAGGTTTTGGATAAATTGTATAAGAGGGATAATTGAGGAAGTATTATAATTCAATTTGGACTGATTTGGTTTTGACCAAAAAGTTGTATTTTTTTAATTATTAAGGTGTAATAATAATAATAATCATGTTGTAAGCAATACATTTAAATTTATATATTTTGTACTGTTGCACTTTTTGGATAATGAATATATATTCAAATAAAAATATTAACAATAACATTTTATTGACATATAACACTGTAATTCTTGAAGCCAGGAACTTTGGAACAAATTTTACCTAATTTGGTAATACATTATCTATTACATAAAATAATTAATTAATACTTTTTAAAACTAATTAAAATGTGTAAATGTTTCCAACTCGAATTGAGCTTTCATATTTGTTATTAACAGTTTGGTGCGTTCATTGTTCTACCACGGGTTCAAGGTAGAATAAATATTATAATATTATATAATTTATATAATTATAATGTCAAAATTGACTCAACTTGACGTTTGATTAGATACTTAAAAATCTTGAAAGACCGGCGTGGTCACATAATGGAACGTAAAGAAGTTTCAGATATTGCAGCACAAAGAAAAAGGCCTAATCTAACGCAAGAAATGTACCAAACTGTATACTATTATTTGCTAGAGGTAAGTATAAATGGTGGACTGAAACATGGTTTGATAAAAAATGCGGCTGCTCGATATTCTGTTTCAGAGAAAACTATAAGTCGAATTTGGCATCGAGGACAGCAATCCTTACGTGAATGGTCAGTATGTGCAAATACAAATTCGCGAAACTCTGGAAAAGTTGGCAGGAAACGAAACACCGTAGACAAGGGCGTCGCCAGCTTATGACTAAGGGGGGGCAATATTATGGAGGATAAAAAATATGAACGCCTGGTACAGTCGAAAGCATGAAGCGTTACACTTTGGAAGTCTTTGCCTCGATGACGATTGTATTAAGAACGGTTCTGATATCAATGTATAAAACTGCACATGCCCTCGATAGCACAATAACTAAATCAAACTTTTAAACACAGTAATAATTATTTATTTTAACAAAAATAATATTTAATTAAAACATAACCTGCGGGGAATTTTTTTCAAAACTTTCAACCACTTTATCATTAAAATTATTTAGGTTTTTATTTATTATAGCTCTGTGTACACTCATCATGGCCAGACCATTAAGGTGATCTTCTGCCATGGTGCTTCTTAGCCATGTTTTTAGTCTTCTGAGGCTGCTAAAGGATCGCTCTACTGTACAGGTCGTGCATGGTAAAGCGATCAAAATTTTCAATGCTTTTTCCGTTTCGGGAAAGAAGGAATTTGTTTCTTTTAGGACATCAACAACTGTAAGATTTGTTAGATTAAGTCTATCGTGCCACAATTGCTGCCAAAGTTCGATTTCATTCTTTATGTTCGGTAAATCATAAAACTGGGCAATTCACAAGTTTGTTTCTGATTTTTCAGTTGTCATCTTTTGCATCTGCGGGTGTAACTTAGATAATGCAAATGATGGTGTGTTTTCTTCAACAAAACGTACTTCAAGGGAGGTGATAATTGAATCCAAGTATGGTATTACTAAAGACCTCTTCCAGTATTCTGAAGGGCTTTCTGCTGGATGATTGCTTCTATGACGTTGTTTCCCCGTAATACGCGGCATTGATGTAATGTCCTCCTCCAGTCCGACTTTCTCCGCAACCGCAGTAGCTTCCTTTATAATTTCGTCTGTCACTTTTTCCGGATTTTCACGGTGGTTTTTAATTAAAAGTAAAATCCTTTTAACGTGTTCCGAGGCTTTGACCACGTCCAAAGCTACAGATTGGAGTACGTTGACAACGGGTTCCATCAAAGCCGAGTATTTGGCTACCAGCATAATCCCGAGAATGAAAGAAATGCTGGAAGGCACTTTTCCGAGTTGCACTATTTCCTTCCTAAGATAATGTTTGTAAGGCTTCCAGAATTACTGGAAGATTTTCTTTAAAAACTCTGATGGATTTGTGTTTCTCACTCCATCTTCTCTCGCAAAGTCTGGAAATATTAGGATCAACTTCCTCCTCAAAACTGATTCCCGAAAAAAGTTTATAGTATCTTTGGTGGTTCCCATGGCATTTCTAATTTCAGGAAGTGAATTTAGATCATTGATAATTAGATTCAGTTTGTGGAACGAGCAATGAAAGTAGAGGGCTTTGGTGTACTTTTTGCGTAAGATCGCTTGTACCCCTCCGTCTTTTCCCGACATCGTTGAACAACCATCAAAACCAAAACCAACGCATTTATTTATATTCAGATCTTCTTTTGTCAAAAACTCATCTATGCTATGTGCAATCGATTTCGCATCCAAATCTTTTAGCTCAGTGAATCCGACAAACATTTCTTGGACTTGCTGTGTTTCTTCGTCAAAATATCGCATCCCAATCGATAGTTGTTCAGTGCCAGAAATATCAGCTGTTTCATCTGCTAGCACACTATATGCTGCTGCTTCTTTCACTTTTTTCATAATATCAGCCTTAATACCGCTTCCACAAATACCAATAATTTCATTTTGAATATCCACTGAACGGTAGCTTGCATTTTTTTCCCTTGCTCAATGTGTTTCTTTAAAATCGAATCTCCTGCGTCAATTCGCAGCCTGTATAAATCCTCGAGAATACCTTCATCATAATGTATACCTCTTAGTGCTAAGTCGTGTGACCCGCAAAACGTAATGCAGGAAATAATAGATTTTATAATTTTGCGATTTTTTTCAATAATTCCCTAGGAATATTTGTTCAGTTGCAAATCGACAGGCACACCTTCGAGAAAAGATTTAGCAGCTTTCAATGCCTCCTTATGGAAGTGGGTTTCAATGTGCTTTTTGCACTGCTCGTGAATATCTTTGAACTTACAAAAGGGCCTTATAGTAAATGATCCCAATATGCCTCTAAATGAATTTGGATTTGGTGGGAACAACGTACAATATTTACAAAATGCTCGTTTTTGGCGCCTGGAATATACCAACCATATTCCAACCATTTACGTTTTGTCATGCTATGCGGAATTTATTAATAGGTAAGGATTTAAGGAAGTCAATTGCTCGCACTTTGGTCGCTTTGCGGCTAGCTACATTTGATCCTTGGGGGGAGGGGGGGGGCAACTGCCCCCCCCCCTGCCGCCCCTTGGCGACGCCCTTGACCGTAGATGTAGAAAAGCATAATTCCCCGAAGAATTAAACCTGCATTGATTAAGCTCCAACCAACGCAGTAAAATCATTCCATACAGATCGCAACAAATTTCAGGGTTTGGATTACTGCTTGGCAATGCGTGATTCTGATTAAAAGAAAACATCGAACAAGTACTACCTTGCATACGATGAGATAGAACCTTATCAAACCTGCAAAAATAAGAGATTCATCACAAAGGTTGTTTTATTGCATGCCTACGGTGGCACAATTGTCGTAATCAGTGCTTTTATGGAAAATTAGGCATTTGGCTATTTATAAAAAAGAACCAGCCAAACGTAGAAGCACAAATCGTCCAGCTGAGACTCTAGGGAAGAAGGTCATTGAATATGTGACCAAGAGTGAATATAGAAATATGATAGTGGATAAACTTCTGCCTGCAATTGAAGCTAAATGGCCTCGGTCTAATAGCCATACAACTATTTTTATTCAACAGGATAACACAAAACCGCACTTTGATAAGAACGATAAGAACTTCAATAAAGCTGTTAGCGTGTTAATTTTCACAAATACTCCATGCGGGGCTAATGCTTTGATAGTAGCGAGAGGAAGTTTTAGGAAAACCAATGTGTTCAACGACAAAATTAAAAAAAAAAAAGAAAAGGGTTGTCGATCAAAACTACAACGCGACGGTAAGACCGTAACTGATGAACTGATGGTAACTGTTAACTGATAACTAATCTCTCCGGGCCGATCCTGGTTCCTTTTATCCCCGAGTCCAGTAATATCCCCGGTGAAAGTTTTCTTCGAGTCCTTGTCTGGACCAAAAGGATCTGCTGTCCAGATGTACGGAGAGAGTTTTTCTGAATGGTTTCGAACACTTTCTGGCGTCCAGATGTTCGCCACGGAGAGCGTCCAGTAGCATCTCCGGTGAAAGCTTTCCGGAAACCCTTTGCCTGGACCAAAAGGGTGTCCTGCCCAGATGAACGGAGAGAGACTCTTTTTAAATGGTTTAGAAAGTTCTCTGGCGTCCAGATGTTCGCCACACTCCAATAAAAGTAATGTGTCGACCTCCTAACCGTTCTAACACTAATGCACTAGATCTCGGTTTTTTCACTGCCATACAGATACTTCGGTACCAAACTGATGTTTTAATCAACTGAGTAGTGATATACTGAATAACGTCTTCCTATCACTTCAGCATTGCATGATAGAAATCATGTATATAAATGGCAACCAACAGAGGTCGTGTATGAAAAAAAAATTGAGAAATATTCTATTGAAGTAATCATCGTCGTCCAAAAGATAATCTTTTTTCTAAATAGTTTCTGTAATTTTAAATTATCTTGAGTGTCTAATATCAATTTTTTTGAAGCAAGTATATTCATCATAGTAAGGTTCTACTGTCAGAAGTACGTCTTGCTATAATTGTTATGTTTTGATTATTTAATAAAATGTCTGTTATATTATAATTGTTTTATTTAACTTGTTATTGCCATTACAAACGTTACAACATAGATTAGATATAATATATTTGTTATATAGATAGGCAACTATAAACGTTTGATTGAAATGCGCAATTAGTTTTGGATACTGTCACCTACAGCGCTGAAATTATAGGCAGGCGGGAAATATAAATTAAATTTGTTATTTGAAAGTTTTGTCGATGTTTTTTCGAAAACATTGCTCGGCGACAAAACTTTACAAACTGTACAAAATTTTAAACACATTTAAATTTTGTCGTTTACAATGTTTTCCAAAAAAGAAAACATCGAAAAAACATGACTAGGTATTAAGTTATTATTTGGTACAGGGTGTATTAAAAAGTCTTTAAATGAATAACAAAGACTTTATTCTTTAATTTTTTTAATATTATTTATACCACATCGTTTCCTTTTAACCCTTCGTCTGTAAACGGTTTTTTAGCACCTTCGGTCTGTAAAGATGGGTCTTTCGGGTTCGGCCGTTTTTTCATACTGTTAATGCACTCACAAATTTTTATAAACAATTCATGATAATGTTCGAAACCTTCAACTTGATAAATCAATCATAAAATTATCGAAAAATTAATTTTTGCATACATATTTTTTATATGAAATGAGGAAATTATTTGCCTAAACAGTTGTAGGTCGGACAGGAAATACCCAGGTTTACAGAGGAAGGGTTAATTTTATTGTATTTATCCAACGCTGCTTCCCCATGGCTGATTATAACATCAATCGAAGTACTTATTATAAAGCAACAATAACAAATCGCTCTTTCTTCAAATCGCTAGCAACTCTTCCTCTATACACAATACAAACATGCAATCAAAAATATTACTATGTCAAACTTGGCCAAACCAGTCAAACTGACAACTCAAAAAGTGGCCAAAATGGGTTCTGTAATCGAAAACAACGCTATAAGTGACAGTATCCAGAATTAAACGTATGTTCTCCACTTCATTAATACGAGTGACTGGTGCAGGTTACAAGTCTGGCCAGCAATATCAATGTCACGATGACACATGCCCTATCATAAATTTTCATATGATATTCAAAATGACACGAGAATTTTTTGAAAGGAAATTAAATTTATTGCTTGCTGAACAAATTTCATTTAGACATTTATCACAAGCTTTGACAGAAATTTAATTTTTCTTAAATTAATATTTTATTGACTACTAAAATCAAACATTAAATCACAACATGTATGTTTAGAAATCAATTCAAAATTATCATTAATAAACATTCGTAATTCTTCATTTTGCTCCTTATAATCATTAAAAATGTTCAAGGTTTCATAAATTTCTTTCACCCTTTTAACAGAATCATCATGTTTTTTACCATAATTTTTCATTAAAATCATTTTTTGGTCAAAATTCGCCTTTTCCAAAGCTTTTACAATCAACCAAGTACATTTACCCTCTTTAATAGCACCGTTCTGATCATTACCATTTTCTCCATAATAATTATTGAAATCGTTCTCGATATAATAACATTCGCCCAATTTAAAAAATATATTATTCAGTTCTTTAAATAAGTCGGGCTCACCTTTATCCGTTAAATAACTCGCCAAGAAAAACGGTAGAATCATCATTGGATATGTCGTTTTGTATTTGGTGATTATTTGATATTTCTTCATGGTAAAATCGGTTAAATTTGATTTACCTACTGTCATCATAGTATATAAAGTTTGTCCGTTTAGAGCTTTGTAAGTGATGTCACGCACTAATTCTATCATTTTCGTGTAGTTTGGTGAATTAGAGAAATGTTGTTTTAATAAATGATAAATTAACGCGTTAATTATCGCAAAATCGGATGTACTTTTATTAACTCCTTTTAGTTTATGCCAACATAGAACATTACTTCGTCTTGTTGAGTTCTCTAGTATATCATTTTCCATAAGAAGCGCGGTATGATTCTGAAATATTATTTTGATTCGTTTTGATATTAAAAATTAAATTAATAACGTTATAAGATAAACACTTACAAATTCTGCACACCACCCAAGAATATAAGCAAGGTTTAAGTTCCTTTGAGTTAGCTTTTCAGAGTCTTCAAGAACTTCGTAATTTCGAATGACCGATAATCCACAAATTTTCTTCCCTAAAAGCAAATTATATTCCATAGCTTCTCTATCCAGTCCATACAATTCGTTTTTAAAATGATTACAAATGTTATTAAAAATCATTGGAAGCGATGACATAAAGGTGTCTATGTCGCAAGATTTATTACGAATTGTTGATGATAATGTTAAACATCTTTTGAAGTTATATTTAGTAAAACATTTTTGTAAACTTCGATTTAAATAAATTGATATGTTTAAATTTGTTACCATCTTTCTTCTTTGTAAGTAAGAGAAATCGTGTGTTAATGCTGAAAGTACGTAACTTAATTAATGCAGATATTTGTTAATGTTATTTACCAATTCCTTTAATTTAATTTGCTTGTTCTTTTTTTTAACTTAATTGAACTTAATTCTACGTGTGCACTTAAGTTTTTATTAATACTATTTTTGAATAACCTAAAAAAATCGTTTTTTATTGATCATCATCAAAAAATAGTATCTATACAGTGTCTATGGTATAAACAGAAGACTCAGGAAGCTTATAACAACATGGGAACCAATAAATGAAATAATCAAATATACCTAGATAATAATACATAGAAGTATATGAGGTAAATGAAGACTACCTAATAGGCAATAATGATTACTTTTTCGAAAGATTAAGTCAAGAGAAGTAATAGTTTTAGGTATCTTTAATGATCGAGTGGGAAAAAAGGGTACAGATAATGCAGTTGGAAATTTTGGAGAGAATGTGTTAAACGATAACGGTAGAGGATTAAGGCAAATATGCGAACAAAATCAGCTAAAAGTTCTAAATGGTGTCTTCCAGCACCGAAAGATTACATGGAGACAAACAGCAACGATCTTTAAAAAAAGTTATTATTGATTACGTATTTGTAAAACAAAAGAGTAAGTAAAAGAGTAAACAAAAGAGCTTTCTAGAACAGTAAAGTACAAGAGAACTGTATAAAAGCAGATTAAACACTTAACTGTAAAGAACATCATGATCAAGAACATCAGCTGGGTTTACAGTCACAAAAAGGTATATGACAAAATGCTGAATATATGATACGCAAACTAATTTAAGATGATTAATTAATGACGAAATTGAATATATACAGGATGGTCCATTTAACGTGAAACAAGCGATTATCTCGCAAACGGTTCATTTTACATAAAAATGAACCATATGAAAGTTGTTCTGTGCAAAGGGGGAAACCATATGACGACAACATTTTTTAACCTTGACCTGATTTTGAAGGTTATATGAAGATCACGACCAATTTTTTAAATGACACCCTATACAGTATGTCCCCAGATCGAGTTACAAAGAGGAAAAAAATTTTTGTTACTGATTTTTCAAACTTATCTCAGCATAAATAATGCGTCGGATATGTTCAAACTACAAATCGCATGAATTTTATACTCTAACTATAAAAGTTAAGTAATTATTCCAATTTTTATGTAATAATTGAACTTTTTTCTAAATTGAAAATTGAAATTGAAGTTCAATTTATGATATGTAACCATAGAAACCATAAAACTTACAACTTTTGTTGGTGCGATTAAGTCTTTTCATGCGATGTTAACCGTGAAAGAGAGAATTTATTTAGTACTGTGCTATGGTACTAGTGAATCATGTTTTCAAAAATTCCAGCAAAAATATCTAGACACAAAAATATCTCATGTTGGTGCTCGCAAACTTATGAAAAAATTTTTGGAAACGGGTTCTGTATTATCCATAAAGAGGCAGACAAAGAGACTAAATGAGGAAGACGCTGCTTTTCAGATAGCTTTTCAACAAATGACATTGTTTCTTCCCAGCATTGTCGTTAGTTATTGGAGCGATGTAAATCCAATTATCCTTAAATTTTATACGGTCAATGTACTTTCAGCAAGACAGTTGCCCAGCTTACCATTGTGGCAAATGGTTAAATTTACAATTTCGTCAAAAATAGATTGAACAAAATGGTCCTATTTGATGGCCGGCACGTAGTCCTGATCTTACAATTATGGATTTTTATTTTTGGGGTAGATTGAAACAAATTGTTTACAGTGAACCATTACAAGATGATGCAGAACTATTAAAACTAAGAATAATTAAAGCGATAGAATCTCTACCAGTGGCGGAAATTCGTACTTCTTATAAAGCATTTAGAACTCGTCTTCAAATGTGTGCCGAATTGGGAGGAAATTTATTTGAATGAGGATTTTAAGTGAATAAATGTTTACTTACAAATAAATAATATTTATTACTTACATAGTGTGTTATTACATAAATTTACATTTAAAATATTTTATTCAATTAGCCATATTTCAATTTGATTTAGGAAAAGTATAATTTTTACCAAAATTTTTACATAAAAATGGAAATAATTAGTTAACTTGGGGGGAAGTACCGAAATTTGTTAGATGACGTCTTTCCAACGTTATTTGTAGATTTAAGCAGGGAAAAAAGACAAAATATGTGGCTGCACAATGATGGGTGTCCAGTAGTGATGTAACGGATATCCGCATCCGCTTACGCATCCGCATCCGCAAAATTAGAATTAAAAAATCCGGTTCCGCATCCGCATCCGCTAAACTCACATCCGTAACATCACTACTTAGTGTCCAGCACATTTTTCACATATTGCACGTGAAGCTTTAGATCGGAATTATGCTGGGCGATGGATTGGAAGGAGAGGTCCAATTTCCTGGCCCGCCAGATCACCTGATTTAACACCTCTTGATTTTTTTTTGTGGGGCGTCCTTAAGGATAATGTTTATCGTGAAGTACCGACTACGCTAGAAAACATGAAAGACCGGATAAGAAATGCATGCAGAAATAGTAGCCAAAAAAACCTTTTAAGATGTAAAGAAAACTTTCTTTACATCTTAAAAGGTTTAAGGTTTTAGTAGAAGTGTTAATAAATGTATTGAAGTGGGTGGGGAAATATTTGAACATTTGTTATAAATTTTATACTTGTTGTTGATTAATAGTATAGTTTGATCATTTTTTATAAATAAACAATATTTAAAACTATTTGAATAAATAATTATTTAGATTTTATCTACAAAAGATGTTTCGCTGTTGTACTGTCAAAACCACACGATAATTTTTTCTTTAATTGTTTTACTTTTATCCATAGATTCAGATGTTGCAATCAAAAACAAAGGGTGCCATTTAAAAAATTGGTCGTGATCTTCATATGACCTTGAACCTTCAAGAACATCAGCTGAGTTTACAGTCACAAAAAGGTATATGACGAAATGCTGAATATATGACTCGCAAACTAATTTAAAAAGATAAATTAATAAAACTGAATATATATGTATTGGAGAAGATCAATAAGATCTGCCTATCTCGGACAAACAAAACAACAAACATTGCAGCTTATACAAATGCCTGGGTGTAAAAATATTGAAGCAGGGAATACCTGATGAGGTGATAACCGAAAGACAGCTGCAGGGTAACAAAAGAAAACAAACACAGAATACAACTCAATAATTCGAAGTATAACAACGTACAGCTGTAAAGTTTGGCCTAAAAAGGATAAGACAGAAAGAACACTAAAAGCTTCAGAAGAGCTACTGGAACATCTAATCTGGAAAGGATTAGAAATGAAGACATAAGGAATATAATGAAATTAAAACTTGAAATGCCCAACTTGGATGGTACGGGCATGTACAAGAATTGGGTCAAGATCGACCACTAAAGAAAGTACAGTACACCACAAAGAAGAAGAAGAAGAGCACGAAGTGAGGCAGATTCGGACAGGGCACCGCCTAAAATAGTTGCAACAGTGTGCACAGTCGGATAAACGTCGTCTCAGTTCTGTTAATGGCTGCTGTGAAAAGGTGCTGCCGGTATTTCAACAAATCTTTCTACAAATTAAAATTATAGTTTTTTGTGCCAAGAGGTAACTATTTTCCCCTTTACTTCTTAAGCTTCTAGATATTTTTTCGCTGATATTTTCTGAAATCTGTTTGATACAACATCAAGCAACTTTCACTACGAATTCATTCTCAATTTCGGCAAACATGGAATGCTAACCTCAAAAATTGTATAGCTTATTGTTTCCACAAACTGCGTACGAGGTACTTTCAGACAATTTAACTGGGGCACATTCGAACTGTTCGAATATACCCCGATTTGATTTATTCTATTATAAGTAGCTTTTAGTACTTATTTTTCTTCTAGAATGGTTCGCATATACATATGAAACACTGAAAGAAC